TGAACTGCAAACATACTGAAGGTGATTCACATACTTACCAAACATGGTGTGATTTTCACAATCCATGACATTTTTCCATGCTTCCATGACCAAATCTCACACCTCAACAAAATTAACCAATCTTTTGCACTTGGCTTTAACATTGTTTAGAATATGGAAATGACATAACAATTGATATGACTTAGGGAATACATTGCTAATGGTATTCATCAAAGTCAACTCTCTGTCACTGACGATGACTTGTGGACAACCCTCAGATGTTAGAAATAAACCTTCCATTCCTTTCAAAGCCCAAGTGAAATTATTTAGTCGTTTACTTGTTAAAAATGCAAATGTTGCTGAAAAGGTCAATCTTTTTGACGTCACACCAACAATCTTAAGCAAGGGAAGTCGATATTTATTTGTTTTGTACGTCAAATCCATCAACAAAACAATATTAAATATGTTCAAAAATATGACTGCATCATGATGTATCCAAAAGAGATCACTTACAATCTCATATTCGTTGACACACCTACTCCAATGAACGTAGTTATCACGATCCAACATCATCAACTACTATAGTTTAGTTATCGACTCTCTCAATGATTGTTTGTATATATACCTTACATTTTAGATTTGTTTGATTGTTGTGATATTACGATCATTATTTTCTTCAAGAGTCAAAAAAATATTTGCAAGCGTTACTTGAGTCTTAGTCATATCAACAAGTAATGATTGTTCATTGAGATTTAACCTCTCAACAAAAGGGTGACCCACTAAATTTTTTGCTAAATCGTGGTTGTGATATCCACAAATGCCTTTCAATATCCACTTGCGCCATTAGAAGATGGCTTGCCCATTAAGTTAAGGGAACACTCACATTTTTAGGTGCCATATATATTGGGTTGGACAACGGGTTTGTATTTCCTATACTTTTCACCTCTTTCACATCCTAGCAAGACAAACGTCTTCATTTCGGGTTCACTGATAGCTTTTTCCGATCTTATAGCTACCACAACAAACTCTAGATGATGTGTCATCCCTCTCACCCATTAAATTAAGTCATCACGAGAGGAAAATTATTTGTCAAATCTCCCTTCACTACTTCATTTATGATATAAGAGGAAAAATCTTATATGAAGCTAAAATTTACTTGAGAATCCATATCGTAAGGATATTATTCCATTTTATAATATAATCACCTATAACATATTATTCACGCCTCAATATCTAACATGATTCATAATAATCTACAACATCATTATAAAACATCCAATTTTTTTAATAATTTTTAAATAATAACACTTCAAAAAAAATAATTAAAAAGTACCTAACAAATTATTCATGCATTTAAAATAATAAAACTTAAAAAAATAAAAAAAATGCATATAAAAATTTAATAATAAAATCAAATAAATAAAACATTTATTATAAATTTGAAACTTAAAAAATTAAAAAATAATAACAAAAATATCTTTCAACAAAATTAGAAATTTGTTCTAACTTGAATGAATTTCGAAATCAATTGTAGCCTTAAGCAGATTACGAAATTCGTCAAGACCTTCAACGAATTTTGAAATGCGTTGAAGCCTGTGAATTGGAGTATAGGTTTCATATACCTTTTTTTCACCCAAAAAAAGCTTTTGAAGGAAGTGAAAGCTTTCACAAACACAAATGTACCAGCACTAAGACCACCTATCCCTGACAAAACGAACCACACACGCCAACACCAATATCACCAACCACAAACACCCCACTTAATGGACCACCACAACGAGAAAGAAAACTAAATGAATGATAATGAATAAATTAGGAGTGTGGAGGATATAAAGAGGAAGAAGGGGATAACATTGAATGAAGTGGTGGTTGGAAGTTCAAATTCGGTAAGAAGTAATTACTGCTTACTGAGGGGCATTTTAGGGAGTTAGAGATGTAGGAAGAAACGTTTGGAGGTGTAGAAAGAAACCCTCGTTTCGAAATTATTCATGCCTTCTAACTTTAGAAAACTCTCGACACCTGTTTTGTCATACTTTTCCTTTTGGATTCTCTTCTTCTTCTCATCGATACCAACACTTTAGATTGTTGACAGTGATTGAAGTGCTTAAAATGGAATGTAACAGGCTGCGTTTCATTTTTTTTTCATTTAGTGATGTTTGCATTTTCCATCTTCGTCATTTTCATTCTAGGTCTCTATTACAACTCTAGAACAAGATTTCTTATCAGTAAAGGAGTATGCTTTTTAGTTTTCGGTTGATATGTTTATGTGTTTTACCCATGTTTTTCTAACAATTCTAATTATTTTTTCTATGTTTTTTCACATTTTTTTATTCTTCTATGGAATTACAATATGAAATTTGAAGAAGAAAGAATTGAAATATGAAATCTCTATACGTTTTTTTCCTATCTCCTTGAATCGAAGAAAGAACATGGATGCAACCAAAGTTATCTGAAAATCTCTCAGACTTCATTCCAACACCAAAAAAACTAGGGACTTACCCAACTTCATCGAATGCCATGTGTATGGCTTCAAGGTTGATGTATGTACGTTTTTCTGCTTTATGATTTTATGCTTTTACGTTTTTGGATTTTGAAGTTGAAATTATAGTAAACTACTTCACATTATAGATTTTTCATGCTTCACAAATATGATTAAAATAATGATTGGAATAATCGATTATCAAGCAGGATAATCGATTATTTCTATAACTTTTTTACAACAACCTAAAATTTCTGATTTGGTAGTACCTAAGACTCATTCAATTGACCAAAGCGGTATCCTTAACAATAAAATTGATCAAAAAACTTGTTTATGACTACAATTGAATACCATTTTACTCTTTTGCTTAGGAATTAGGTGTACCAAATCAATTCATCATTCTAAAAACCCATATACTAGATTTTCCACATTTCAAATCATATTTTTGCAAAGTAAGAGGTCAACCGAGTCCTAAGTGACCCCAAAACAGTACTCAAAGTTTCCTATTTTCCCCAAAACCATTTCTTTAGAATTTGACTTATAAAAACATTCTTTTAGACAAAAAAAACTCACCATTTTTCTATCTTATTATCATCACAGTAAGCTTCTACAAAAATTTACCAACTTAGAATAACTAGTCAAACATTCTCAAATTCATTAAAAATCAATTTCAATCATCACAAAACCAACAACACACAAACATTAATGAATTTCAGTTCAACATACCATTTTTATAAGCAACTCAACATATCAAATTTCACAATTCAATTAAATTCCACAAATCAACTACCATACCATAATGCAACCATCATTTTAGACTTGTCTACTAGTTAAAATTAATAATACTAACCTCCTTTACATGTTTGATGTTCGATATGTACTATTAGCTCTAAAACCTCTCCTACAACTTCCAAATCTCTATTCGCTCCTACAAACCATAACAACTTGATCAGGACATACTCTTAGTATCACTGATTAACAGAGAGTCTTAGAGAAGACTCATACCTTAAATTAATAAAGAAATCACCCAGATGCAAACCACTTGATTTAAAGAAAGGTTAGAAATCAACTTACTCTTTAACTTAAATTGACTGGCTAATACTGAAGATATCGCTTTAAGGATCCCTCAGACAATCTCTAATCTTGGATAGATGGATAGGGAGTTAAAATTTACAGAGAGAAGACAGAGAAATTTTAAAGAAAAGAGTTTAAGAAAGATAAAACTTTTTAGATAATGAAACTCTTTAATAAAAAAATATATTTATACTTTTGGTATTTTTAAATTAAAATAATGAATATCATTATTTAAAACACTACCACATCTAATACTCGATTTTTGAGGGTATCTGTATGCATTACTAATAATTATTATTTCGATTTTATAATTTAAAACAAACAAATTCATATATAAATATTATCTTTTAATATTGTTATTATTATTATTAATAATATTAATATTAGTATAATCTATCATTACTATTATTAATATTATTAATTGACATTTTTATAATTCATTACTTTAACATAATACAATTAATATTAAGATAATATTATTTATTTTTATTAACTTGTTATAAAAAATATATTTATAATTAATTAATTATTTTTATATTATCAAACCTTTTAGTTAAATACTAAATTTTCAGCTATAAGTAATTATAATAATAATAATAATTAAATATAATTATATAAATAAATTCATATTTAAATATAATAAATATATTAATTTTGTTAATACAAATTGATAAAACAAAACAAAAATAGAACGACGCATATACGTATAGAGGGATTAAGACTACTTTTCAATAAATCTATATTTATTTGGTCAGGAGATATGTTATCAGACTCCCTTTTCTCCCTTTTCTTTAATAAATTGAAAATTTTATTCAGCTAAAACACTTTCCTTAGTTTTGATGTTTATTGATAATAATATTATTTTATCATATGTTAATATCATTTCATACTGTGGAATTTGCTGTTAATGTAATATCGTTTGTGCACGGGATTATTTAAAAAAAATGTATTTTTTTATAAGATAAATGTATTCTTTTTTAATATATTAAATTTCTAGTTAATAACTCTAAAATATTGAAGCAAAAATAATAAATTAATATATTTTTACAAATTGTAGCAAATTTCATAAAGATAAACAGATTATATATATATATATATATATATATATATATATATATATATATATATATATATATATATATATGTATGTATGTATTGAAACTAGTAAAATGTATATAAAAAAAAAACTCCATCATTAATTTATTCAGGAACAACTTATAAACTAAGGAAGAACATTTGACTCCCACCATAAGTAATTAATGTGAGAACTACTACTACACTTTCTACAATCACTTAAGATCTCAAATTTCAAAACAGAGGAGGTGATAATAGAAATTCTGGGAGTGAAAATAACAAGCTTTTATTGTTGGTTGGGTAATTGTTTAGCCCAACCCCATTCACACTTGCCTGAATCCAAAAAAGCCCTAGAATAGAGGCATTCTGTTATGACTTCAAAACCCTAAAACGCTGAAGCGCTTATATATACGAACTCTATCTCCTAACTATACCGCAACCAAAGCCAGTTCAGAAAAAATGGCCGTGCCTCTAATCTCGAAGAAGATCGTGAAGAAGAGAGTGAAGAGGTTCAAGAGGCCTCAGAGTGACCGCAAGATTTCCGTCAAGGTATACATTCTTTCTTTCCAACACTCTGTTTTTCCTGCGAAGTGGTTATTTTGATATCACACCGTGATTTGAATCGAATTGGTGTGTTGTTTGTAAAGGATATGATGATAGTATTTTGTCGCCCCAGTCTTAATTTGCACCACAAGGTGTAAGATGGTGATTGACTTTATATCTGATCCTTCTACGTGGTTAGTACTGTTAATTTATGTTTTTCTTCGTTTAAATTATTTTCAGTTTTCCTGTTTTTTGTTTTTGGTTGTCATGGTATATTGTTGTCATTCTCTATGATGTTTTATTTTAATAACCAATGGGATATGAGGATGCCTTTTGACACCCAGTCTTACCATATACTTTTATGAGTGGTGAGAGATCGACTATCTGATCCCATATTTATGAATTATCGTCTGTGTTTCGTAGTTGGATCTGATATTTTTATTTTAGGTTTTAATAATGATTGTTTGATTACCTGTGATCGACAGCTTCTATCATGATTTTTTTATTTGTAAGCATGAGATTTGATGATATCTTGTTGACACCCAGTCTTACGTGCTCCTATGGCGCACCCTGGTGAAATATTACTTGTCTGATCTCCTAATTAAATTGCACACTAGATATATCATTTTGCTTCTTTATTTTGATTTTGTAGTATTACCACCTGAATTGTCCCATCATTTTTTCGTTGTTCATCCTTGCTGTTTATTTTCTGGGCAAAAGTGTTATCTGTCCCAATTATTTTTCTCATGAAAGTATTCGTTTTTTTTCTCGTGAAATACAAAGAGATATGATGATGTTTATCCATCATTTCTGCAGTTAAAGTGATGATTAAAAACATGCACTACCATCTGATCTCTTACAATTTTCAATTGTTATCCATTAATTTTTTTAGTTTTTATAGTTTTTTGTTAACTTTTTTTTATTGCCCATGGTATCTGATGTCCAGAATTTTGACTTTGTCTCTTTGTAGCTGGACATTTCGTTTGCAGGGCGTATATAGAATTTTTACAGGCCTTGCGACACAGTTGGCTTTTTTTAATAGGCTTTCTGTTACTATTTTCCTGTTTACATTTTGAGTACGTTAAAACCGATTTTATAAACCCCTATGATGTGTCTGTAGTTAGTAGCCAATTTTAACTGTGCGTTTCATGTAAGAAGCTATTGAATATCTAATTAATAATTTACTCTAGAATATTCTGAATTGCAATCGATGATGACATTTTCGTAATTTGCTGATTGTCTGTGATTATTACTATCAATATCACCATCTTTCGGCTGAGATTGCAAAAGCAATATTTCTTTCGAATGGATGTATTAACCGGACGTTAGTTTGTTTTGCTCTTGTAGTATGTAATGTTTGGTAATTTTCGTTTATTTTTTTTTATTTTGTAATGACGATTTCCGTTCATAATATATTTTCAACAGCCTAGCTGGCGTAGACCGAAGGGTATTGATTCTCGTGTCAGGAGAAAGTTCAAAGGATGTGTTTTGATGCCAAACATTGGTTATGGGTCAGACAAGAGGACTCGTCACTATCTGCCTAACGGTTTCAAAAAATTTGTTGTTAGCAACGTGAAGGACTTGGAATTGCTAATGATGCACAACAGGTTTAGTACTTTATACGAATAGCTTTTTTGAACTTCTAGGTTTTTTATGATTTCCATATCGATCGGTTTTGGTGCTTTTCGTTTAATGTCTTGCTACGTATTCTTTTAATTTTCAGAACTTATTGTGCCGAGATTGCACACAATGTATCAACAAGGAAGAGGAAAGAAATAGTTGAGAGAGCTGCGCAGCTTGATGTTGTCGTGACAAATAAAACCGCCAGATTACGCAGCCAGGAGGATGAATAGTCACTTTCTTTCCGTGTTTGTATTGATACTTGATATCGGATTTGGATACTGTTTTTAATTTGTTCTTTGAGTCATTGTAATATGCTGTACAATTAAATTATTAATTGGTAACATATTTTCTTGTCTTAGTAAATTACACTAATTAGTGAATGGAAAATTTAGTTTACAACATGCTATTTGTGTTAATTTGTATATCAATGCCCCCGTTGTAACTTATTTTAACTTAGTCCTATTAAGGTTATGCACATTTCGAAGATTTGCAAGGCTCCATTACAGCCTGTGAATTCAAAGCATGTGCCAAAGCAAATGTCATTCTCTTTATATTTCAGATTCTCTTGGTTTCCATGTCTTGAGGATTTTGTGCAGGATGATAGACATTCTCGAATTATTCTTTTTGCTTATCTATGTAAGATATTATTTGTTGGTGAATTCTTGTCGCTTTTTGATGTTCATGATTAAATGCTGTGCTTATGGACGGTCTTGTGCTGATTAGATATTACATCTGCACAAAACATCAACCTAAGCTACACCTAATGCTACCACTGTTAATGTCTTTTTAATGTTTTCCAATTTGCATGGAATAACATTTTGACAATGGGGCAAAAATTGTGTCTTAGGGAAAATATACGTTTACAAAAGCTTTTAGATGGTGGGAATGTGTGTTCAGGAAGTGCAATGCGGAAACGAACATATTGAGAGTGTGTTGACAATCCTAACACATTTCGGGCTAGGCTTATTATGTTAGGTATCGGTGATCATTTTGAAAGTTGTCCGCAGGAGAATGCTTTTGCCACTAAAGTTGTAAGCATCAATAATTAATTTAAGGTTGCTAAACGGTGGTTTCACGGAAGATCTTAATGTTAGAACATTCTGGCTATAAAACGGAGCAATTGCTGCAGTGCTTGCCTATTTTAAGCAATTCATATTTGCATGTGCCGTGTTACTATATTGTTTTTATTGACGTTTAACTCAGGCAGTTGATTTTTTATACTAAACTAAACATAATAACATAGTAGGCTTACAAGAGGTACATGATTTGATCTTACACTGATGTGCAGGCAAACATTCTGGTGATACCTTGGATGTCCCACGATTTTGCTAGTATAGAAACTAAGGGGAAGGACAGGGTCGCTAGGTCAGAAAGGGACCTAATACAAACACAAACGAAGATTAAGTACACAGGTACATGCAAATGGGATCGTATTCTGAAGTGGCCTCACAGGAGGGAAACTTGAACCAATTAGTGGTGGCAAAGATTTGGGTAGAGGTCAAACATAGTGTTTGACTTTTCTATATTACAGAAAATAAGACCTGTATATGCTCAAAACAGAAGTACATCCTTTTTCCTGGATATAATCGATCGTCTCACTTGTACCATGTGTCATGTTTAAACAACAAATTTTACGATTCACAACGCAGTGTATCAACGTAAGGAAATAAAAAATGAAAAATCATGTAGAATTCAAACACAAATTTGATTCATTTCATTTTCTTATACACGGCTTCTCTAGTGTAAAATCAGTAACAGTTTTGCCCGGAATACAAGAAGATTATGGCAACTCTTGCTCTACTTCAGAACGATTTATGTTTCGGCAGAAAACACGAGGGCGTACCACACATCAGAAAGGGCAGAGTAATCTGTAATTTCAATAAAACAGACCTTCTGAGGGGGGCGTAGACATGACACGTGCAAGTGAAGAAAGATTCATAAGTGATACAACCCATTGTTAATCTAGATTGCGTAAAAATGAAATTCATGCTAAAGTTGAATGAAATCAAATTAGTGTAATTAGTTGGCCGTGGCACAGAAGTAAAGGTAGTATAGATAGATGGTGTCGGAATTAGGGTATAACATAGATCCTGTAAGGTCGAAAAGTTTGGTTGGAACATCATCGGGGCAACAATGTGTTTAAAGATAAAGTAAGCATTCGATGCATATATTTTCGTGTTCACTATGACTTCAGAAAAATTATAATGCAGAGCAACTACCAAATGCAAACATCAAATATCTTCCCGCAAAGAACCCTTCTAAATTTTCAATACAGTGTGGTCATTCTAGAAACGGACATTCTGATGAGAAAAGAGAAGAAAAGAATAAGAATGATTTTAACAGCTTGAGCCAATTGAAGGAAAGAGGAAAGAAATGGATTCTATAGTACAAAATCATGATAAACAACATAAATCAATACAATAAAAGAACGGGCAAGTACAACAAGTAGCTCATATTCAACCCAATTGTATGAATCTGAAACTGAATCCAAAGCAAGGTCCGAGTGTACCATGTATTCTGAATAAGCATCAAAACCAGTAGTGGCAACCTGATCAGCATGTGTTGACCCCATCCTTGCAATCTTTAGTCAAATTATAGAATGTTTCCACACGTGTCTTTCCACGGTAAAAGACCTCTGTATCCACTGCAACTCTCATGTACCCATCAAACTCAACAGGCTTTCCATTGTTGAGAAGAGTCGTCTCGTTATACCATTCACTCGTGTTTCCCCACATTTCCTTATAATCATCAAGCAAATGGACCTTGTAATTTGACCTCAACTTGTCGAAGTAATTATAATAAGGCTCATTGGTGGCAACATACAAATGTCTCCAAGGTTGAACCATTCCTTTAAGCTTCTCAAGAAGAGCATCCGGCGACGTATCGTAATCCAAATGGGGCCACAGTTCCTTATTCTGAGCCTTTTCTCCCCGAACCACATGAACTGCATCAAAATCCCAGTCCAACCTTCCACTAATCTCCGTTACAATATTCATCAACCTCTTCGATTTCCACAAAGCATGCCATGGCCTCTGAATATACTTAGCAGCCTCACCTTCACAAACCCTGTACCAATAATTCTCAGGCTCAGGCGCATCAAACTGCCTCCATATAATCGTACTCTTGTCCTTCTTAAGCTGCATAGGAGTCATCTTGTGAGTGACAACCTTCCTAACAGGAATCCTCTTCTTCTTCAAATGGGTTTTATCCCACTTTTTCCAATCCCTCAAGAACTCACCTTCCTCGACAATCGAAGCTGTCTCCTTCAAATGCTCGAAATCGAAATAATAGTTGAAATCATTCCCTTCCTCATCCTTGTTACTGGGATTATAACTAGAAGCCAAACAGACACTCAAATCCATAACAAAAGTCCTATTCAAATACATCGCTTCCCCCAACCCACACAAGAAACTCCACAAATAATGATTCATCCCCTTGCAATAATCCCCACCACGTGAATAATACAAATATTTTCCACTCCTAAAGTTACTCTCCGATCCCAAAGTCGGAATCGTGTCGTTGATCTCATCATCACGGGCGGAAACCCGCGGCGGCAGGGTCTTACCAGCCCTGCCGGCACCAGTCCTCGTAAAGTTCCGCCGAGCATTGGCTCCGGAGTGCCACCCACCGGCGTGCACCACCTTGTACCTGCAATCGTCGGCTACGCTGATCTTGAAGCGGCGAAAATCGCGATACTTGCGCCACGACCGCTCGCGCTTGTTCCGGAAGCGCCAGGCAACGTCGCACTCGCCGGTGGAGGAGCCGTTCACCGGCGGCTGATAGTCGAAGAAGGCAATGGACTTGAACGCGCGGAGGTTAAACCTCTGAACAGCAATAAGGACGCGAGGATCGGAACAGTTTAGGGTTAAGTCACAGTCGGCGACAGAGGGAAGTGGCGGGGCTGTGGAGTTGGCGGTGGAATTTAGGATTTCCTTTTCTGTTTTCTCGATGACGGCTTCGGTTACAGGGGCGGCGGAAGGGGGCGGCGGGGGTAGGGGAGGGTCCTGGGGCGAGGGGGCGAGGTCCTCGCCAGTTTTGATGACGGAGGAGTCGATTTGGAAGGTGGCATTTTGAGATTGGGTGAAGAGGTTAGTTAGGGCTGGGGTGGACTGGAGCCATGGGTCTGGTGGTTGGTAGGTTATGGCTATGACAGTGAAGATTAGAACGGAGAAGACGAAGACGGAGAAACAAAGGTTGCTTATGAGTTTTATGATGTTTTGTGCAATGGGTTCGGTTCTGCCATTGCTGCTACTGGTGGTGGAGTTGGAATCCTTCATTTTTAGAATTTGAGATCTGAATCTGAGAAAGAGAGGAATGTAGGGTTGGAGAAAGAGGTTAGTGGAGACGGTGATGATGATGGCGACGGTGGATCTAAATCTGGTGACCCGTCATTCAGTGGTGTGAGTGTACTGTAACTTCTTCACTCTTCCGTTTCGGTTTACTTGTTTCCTTTTGCTAACCCGTTATAAATAACTAACCATTGTTTATTAAATCATATTGTTCAAAGCTTTTATCAACTCTGTCTACAAAATTAATTCTTCACAATTATTAAATCTTTCTTACATTTGTTTCACAAAATTTGTTTCTAAAAAGTATATATTTGATCTCTAATGTATAAAAAAAAAATATTTGTATTATATGCATCTTGTTTTTAATTAATTTTTTAACGAATCAAAATGGATTAAATATTTTTTATCCGATTAAATACATAAGCATTTGTTCGCCATTCCAAGAAGAAACACCGCTACTAATGAGTGTCAGTTATTATTAGTTAATATTCATTATTACCAGTCTCCCAGTTTTAAATTACTTGATACTTAAGTTAACATACAATGATAAGGAATATCTTGATATATTTATTTATTATTATAACTATAACAAAATCACCATTTTTACTAAAATTTTCCTACATGAATTCTCACCGAGTAATAAGAATTGTATCAGGAGTTAATTATTTCTGATTTTGCAAAGTAAATAAGTATATTTAAAAAACACCTCTTATTTTTACTTTTACTATAAAAAATCTAAATACATAAAATTCTAAGTGACAAATGGTTTAAAATATAAATATACTTTATTACAACCAGCACATTTTAAGTAAAATTGTCATGATTTGATTAAATAGTATTTTTTTTTATATTTGAAACATTCAGAACGTTATTTTAGATTTTGACTAATTTAACTCCAAGTCAGCTAATTTATTTAAGGAAACAGTTATATATAGGTGAATTCATTCTATATTATTCTAAATTTTTAATGTAGTCATATGTTCAAAATTCAAATTTAAAATTTTTAATTAAAATGAAATAATCTTGCAATCTCTTGTCAAATAGACTAATATTGTATTAATTCACAGTCTGAAGAAACACGGCGATGAGGAGACCACAAAGGATAGATAAAGGAATATCTGCTTAAGTTTGAAACTTGAACATCTCTTCATTACATTCTTAGTTTCACTTCATCTTCTTTCTATTTGGAAGCAACCCAACACAACATTACACTTTTAACACAGATCTGTTCCTTTTTTAGCAGTTGAGAATATTTGGCTTCATTCTTGTGGAGCTTTGCTATGGTATGGTATGGGTATACAAATACAAATATATATATGCTTGAAGAACTACGGAAAACATATCTCAGCGGAATGCGTGGTCGTAATCATGATAGCGGAAGATTTTGTATATGAAGTGAGCCAACCAGCGAGACAATGCAAATGATAGTACTGCTAATAGAACCAATGAGTTTCTTGTTACCACTGACATTGTACCTTGCTTCATGGTTGCCACAATCCCAATTGAAGCAACAGATATAATTTGCAGCATTACTTCAATCACATTCAGGCT